GGTATCATCCCTTATGTCTAAATCATATAACCCATTTTGGTCTTATCTTAGTATAGGATGTGACATGTTGGTCTATGCCTAGTACTATTTTCCAGTTTTCCTAGCAGTTTTTGTCAACAGAATTTTGAATGCAGTCCAGACTGAACTGGTCTCTAACCTGGGAATGGCCAGAGCCAAACAGAGCAGGTGAGAGGCAGGTGTGTCAGGACACACAGTAGTGGCATAATTTATTTCAGAGTGAGTAAAATGACTTGAAAGCAAGGAAGCCCACCTCCTGAGAAGGAGGGCTTGACATGTTATGGCACAAGCAATGCTTATATACATAAGTGGGCTGGACTATAACATAAAATTCTTAGGTCTTAAGTAGCAGTTTCCCATGACAGTCTCATGTGTGGACAATGTAGGCATGCCTGGGTCCTGTGGGAACAGTCTCCAAGTTGATTGTCTCACAGTGGGGTGCAGTACCTGGTTCAGTTCACTCAGCTGTTACAAGGAACAGGGATTGTGAGCAAGTCAAGCAAGGTGACAGATTACTCTTACGGACCCCTGGGAAATAGGGGGCAGTGAACACCTGGGGCTTGGTCAAAGTAGTACACTTTGCCAGAGGGTGAGATCATCCAGAGTGCAAAGAATTGTTATGCTAAGCTCAGGGCACAGCCTGCTTGCTGGGCCTTAGCTCTGGGAAACAGGGTGCCTCCAAAATACTTTGACAGGACTAACGCCAATCCTTTCATATTTTATACCAGGAAACTTCCTGGTTCCCATCTCTCTTCCCCCCACCCCTATTCACTAGTGTCTTTCATTTACACCATATGTATCTTGAGTGTAATTTGCCTGTGTCTCCCCCATTAGCCATATGAGCTCCTTGAGGTCAGTGTTACGGTTTTACTTTTCTCTGTGTGCCCTGTGTGCAGCACTGTGCCTGGCACAAAGTAAGCATTGAAAAAAAAATGTTTCATCTTTCTGATGGTTCCTCCTATTGGTTTTACTTTTTACTTACCACTTCACTAAGGTGAAAATATGTTTAATGGGTATGTAAATGTAAAGCCTATATCAGATTGTGTGCCAAGGAAAAGCTCCTTAAAGGCAAAAAAAAAAAAAAATGCTTGTTGACTCACTGACATATCCATCACTTCCTTCCGTTAACATCCCTGAATTTACTCTCTTTAAGGATCCTTCCATAATTAACCAATGTGAACTTATTCTGAGCACTTGATACATGTTTGTTGATTTACCATTTCCTTTGACCTGGGTCCCCCATCCCATAACTTCACATTTCCTCACCTTACCTATTTCCCATGATCCTCTCCACCCTACCTCAGCAACACACAAAGATGGTCGTACTCTTGATCTTGTCTTCACCCAAAAATGTACCACTTCCATGTCCTTTATCTGGTTGCAATCTGTTGTCATTTCCCCTCTCCCTCTGCCTTGCAACCCCAAAACCTGTTATTTGTCTTTACCATGGCCTCAAGTCTTTCCTAGGCTATCGTCCTTATAGTGGCTACACTTTCCTCCTTTCTCCACTTTCATCCCTAGGTGAACTAGTTTACTTTCCTCTCCTTTAGAGTCCCTTGCCCCTTTATCCTATTAAAAATCTTGCCCTGCCAAACCTTAACCTTATTCCCACCATGTGCTTCTTCTATTCCTATTTACATACTGTTGAATGAAGACAGAAAAAAATCGCAAAACTGTCCTGACTTGGTCCTCTATAAATTAATGTTACATAATTTCAACTGGGCACAAGGGAATCCTTTATCACATGTCTAATTGACTCCCTATTATATTCACTACAGAGAGTTTTCTAAACTTTTCCTTTGCTCCTTAAACCTTATCTGATTCTCTGCTACCCCAGCTAAGAAACTTGTTTCATATTTCACTGAAAAACATTATTGCAACCTTTGGCAAGAGCTTCCTCTGGATCTCCCTTTCTCATCTCATGTCTCTCAGATACCTCCCACCACCTTCTCCTCCTGTGGTCCTTCTCCTTGCCCAAGCAATCCTCTCCACATGCACAAACGATCCCATTCAGCTCATCTGTTCCAGAAGACTGTCACCCTCTGTGGCCCCCCAGTCTCTCATCAATCTTCATTCTCTCCCTTTCTACTAGCTATTTCCCTCCTGCGTAGAAACACTTTCATGTCTTACCAATACACCCGTGTTTGTCCCATCCTCATAAAACCCTCACTTGAACCATCCATCACCATATCTCTTCTCCCTTTTGTGGCTAAACTCCTTGAGAAGGCTACTTCTACTTCCTTTCTGCTCACTCTCTTTTTAACTCTTTGCAGTCCAGCCTCTGACCTCATCATTCAACTTTAAAACTGCTCTCTATAAAGTTACCAATGATCTCTTAATCACCAAATCCAGTGACCTTTTCTCAATTCTCCTTCTCCTTGACCTCTCCGCAGCCTTCAACACTAGCAATCACCCTCTTATCCTTCATACTCTCTTCTACCTTTTTCTGACATTGTTCTCTCCTGGTTCTCCCCACTACCTGTCTGACTACTCCCTCTTAGTATCCTCTGCTCGATCTTTATCCAGGTCACACTCACTAACCATGGGAGTCCCCAAAGGCTCTGTTCTGCACCCTCTTCTCATCTCCCTCTATACTGTTTCACTTGGCAGGCTCATCAACATCCATGTACTTAACTCTAATCTCTATGCAAATGATTCACGGATCTATTTGTCCAGCCTTAACCCCTCTGCTGAGGTCCAGGCTTGCATCTCCAACTGCCTACTGGACATCTCAGGCTTAATGTCTCATAAACATCTTAAATTCAACATGTCCAAAACTAAACTCATTATCTTTCCCCAAAACCCTCCCCTCTTCCTACTCTTCAGGGTACTGCCATCTTTCCTGTCACCCAGGCTTAATACCTAGGTATCATCCTCAACTCCCTACTTTCTCTCACTCACTCTCTTTATCCAATCAGTTACTAAGCCCTCCCATTATAACCTCCATATTATCTCTCATATTCAGTCTTCTCTCTCCTCTGACACTACCACCATCTTGGTGGAGGCCTTCATCGTCTCCCTGCCTTGGTCTCCTCTCCCCACTCCAGGCCATCTTGGACTCAGCTGTCAAACGGATATTCCAAAACAGTGCACATTTGAAAAAGGAATAGTGGAGGCCTCACATGTACAAAAATATTGCACCACCTCTGGAGTCAGGAGGACCTGAGTTCAAATCTGACCTCAGATACTTGACACTTACTAGCTGTATGACCCTGGGCAAGTCATTTAACCCCATTGCCTAGCCAAATACATATATACACACATATACATATATATATATACACACACATATGTATATACACATATACATGTATGTATGTATGTATGTATCAGCTTTTTTTGTGGGGGCAAAGAATTGGAAATTGAGGGGATGCCCATCAGTTGAGGAATGGCTGAACAAGTTGTGGTATATGAATGTAATGGAATACTGTTGTGCTATAAGAAATGATGAACAGGTGGATTTCAGAAAAATCTGGAAAGACTTACATGAACTAATGCTGAGTGAAGTGAGCAGAACCAGGAGAACATTGTACATAGTAACAGCAACATTTTGTGATGATCAGCTATGGTAGATTTGGCTCTTCTCATCAATACAATGATCCAAGACAATCCCAAAAGACTCATGATGGAAAAAGCTATCCACATCCAGAGAAAAAACTGTGGGATCTGAATACAGATCAAAGCATACTATTTTCACTTTTTTGGGGGGGGGGTGTTTGTTTTTTCTTTCTCATGGTTTTCCCCTTTTGCTATGATTTTTCTTTCATAACATGACTAACATGGAAATATGTTTAACATGATTGTACTTGTATAACCTATTGCATCCTGTCTTGGGGAGGAAAGAGGAGGGAGGGAGAGAGAAAAATTCGGAACTCAAAATCTTACAAAAATGAATGTTAAAAAACTAAAAAAATAGTGTACATCTGACCATGTCACTCTCCTAGCTAATCACCTCCATTGGCTCTCCATTGCCTCTAGGATCCAATATAAAATCCCCTATTTGACTTTTAAGACCCCCCATAAAGTGTACTCTTCCTACCTTTCCGATCTTCCTAACTTACACTACACCCCCGAACATGCCTGCCATCCAGTAACATTGGACTCCTTGCTGTTCCTTGCTCAGGATACTCTTATCTCTTGACTTGGCATTTTCCCCATCTATTCCCCATGTCTAGAAATGTCTTCCTCCTCACCTCCACCTCCTGGATTCCCTGGCTTCCTTCAAGTTCCATTTCTTGCAGGAAGCCTTTCACAATCCGCTTCAATCTTAGTGCCTTCCTTCCAAGATTATCCCCAACTTATCTTGTATATATCTTGTCTGTGTTCTAGCTTTTTGCATATTGTCTCCCCATTAGACTGTGAGATTCTTGAGAGCAGGGACTGACTTTTGCCTTTCTTCATATCCCCAGTGCACAGCACAGTGCCTGACACATAGTAGGAGCTTCATAAATGCTTATTGACTGACTGACAGACTAGCTAACTTCAGTAGTTTGCCCAAGGTCACACGTGTGACAGACCCTGGATTTGACCAGGTGTCTTCAGGCACCCAATTCAGTATTGATCTCACCACACCATGCTGCCACCATAATAATATGTCTCTCCACAGGGCAAACAAGATGAGATTCACGAAAACCTAGGACACAGATCTTCCTGTGGGATGGGAAGTTACAATAGAGACGTGATTCGCATTACTGGAGGATATACTTACATAGATGAGATTGCAGATTAACCTCAGTATTTGCATATCTGTTACATTAAAACAAAACAAGATATAACAGTCTATTCTCCATCTGTTGTTAGAGGTTTCTCCTTTCTCTGGATCAGAAAAGACACAATAGAAGTTTTCAAAGAGGTGATTGTGGACACATTTATCCTAAGTCCCTTTCTCTGGGTTAGTGTATTGTGTAGGCTGTAAACCCTTGATGATCAGCTCCAGCTACTTGACTTCTGTTCTAAAACCTCTGCTTTTGCCGAGAGGCTAGGCGAGTTTCCGGGCGTGCTCTGGCGTGATTGAGAAGTTGCAGTATGCCAGCCTCCTCAACCTACTGCAGAGAGTCAAGGAGCAGTCCCAAGTGATTAACCAAGCAATGGCTGACCTGGCCACCATCCCCTATCTCCAAGACATCAGTCAGCAGGATGCTGAGTTGGTGAGGCTCTCTTAATATTTGCTTAGAGTTCTTGTGGCCCTAAGCCAAGGGGAGGGATGGTCATTGGGAAGAAATAAGTGCTCATATATGGTCCTAGGACAGCTTAGCCAGTCATCCTCAGATATTCAATGGAATATGAGGTCTTTGGGGACAAGGACTATTTCATTTTTTTTTGTCTTTGTACCCCTGAGTGCCTAGCACAGGGCATATGAGATCATGGATTTAGAGGCTGAAGGGACCTTAGAAGTCATTTAATCCAACCCCTTAATTTTTTATATGAGGAAACTGAGGCCCAGAGAGATTCATGAGTAAGAGGGAGCTTAGAATCCACCTATTTAAACCTCTCATCTTACAGATAACAGAACTAAGGTTCAGGCTTTCCCAAGGTCACAAAGGTAGTAAGTAAAAAAGACAGGATTTGAACTCAGTTCTCTCTTGACTTCAAGGCACTCTTTCCATCATGTAATGATGCCTCCTAAGGCAGGAAGCTGAAATGGGAATAACACATTCCAGGGCAGAGAGTACTATGGTTTGCCCGAACCGTTGAAGGAATAGAGAAGAATCAGGTTATAGGTCTAGAGTTGAAGAGAACATTAGACATTACCAAATCCAACTCTTTCATTTTACAGATGGACTGGATCTATGATTTCATTGGTGTAGAAAATTCCAGGAATTTCCCTTTAACAATTCATGTCGGCACTTTCTCTGCAATTTATAGTCTCAGTGAGTTGGCTAGGGCCCTGAGAAATTAAATGCCTTGACCTGGGTCACACATCTAGTATGTGTCATAGACGGGACTGGAATCCACGTCTTCCTGGCTTTGAGGCCAGCTCTTTATCCTTTACACCAAAATGCCCATATTTGGGGTAAATTTTATTTCAGAGGAAGCTGTTGTGGCATAGTGAAAAGGTAGGCTGAGTGTAGAGTTGGAGGAGGAGAAAAGACCAGAATTGAATCAAAACTTTTAAATTTGTACTCAAGAGAAGTACTAAGAAACAGGACTTTGAAATAAATGTGGCTTATATGCTTTTTTTTAAAAGTAAACTGGGGTATTTATTGAAAAAAATAATATATTCACTATACAATATTTAAGAATAATACCATTTGTATTTTTAAATCATATTGCTAAATTGCTATGATATATTCATATGTATATATAATTTATATATGTGTATATATGTATATGTATATATATATAATAAAATTATTTTTAAAAGCAAGCTATTCCATACACAATGTTCTATGTGTTCTAGTTTATATATGGAAGTGTTTGGTGGGGTTTTTTTGCATTTTTTAAGCTCCAAAAAATTTTTGATGCATGTTTGGAAGTTCCCGGAGTCAGAAATGTCTTCTATGAAAGTGACTAAACATTTATATAACATAGGAGTTATGGTTCTACTCCCTCAGGACCAAGCAGGCTACATAATCCCATCAGGGTTCCCAGGTACCCTGAGGGTTTGGTAGGGAGGAATTTTTCTCTACTGCCATATGCTCAGGTCTCCATTGGCTATGTTCTCTCCAATTTGTTAGGGGACCAGTTACTGAGATCCCAGTTTAATTTAACCATTTAACACTAAATGAATTTTACAAATGGATATTTGCTTCAAAGATATAGTAAGAAGAAAAGTACCAATATTCACCCTCAAAACTCTGGGACATAATCCCACCTATAGTATACCCAGTCTCTGTGAGGGATTAGGCTCATAATTTAGCATAATTTAATTTCTGTATAGAATTGGTCCTACCAATTTCATATCAAAGGTGACATCACTGCCAGATAAACCCTTCTTCTGGGATAAAGTGCCCAAATCCCCTCCCAACAGTATTCATTTGCTTGGCATACAACATCTTGTTTGGCCATTCCTTAATTGATGAACACCCCCTCTTTAATCTTCCATTTTTTGCTTTACATTTTCCCTTGTTTAATCCCCATCCTCCAGAGACAGTTTGTTTTGTTTGTGACTACTCCTTACCCAGTATTATTCTCCATCTTGACTCCCTCTCTCCTTGTCAGCATACTTGTTGAGTTTTACATTTTTCTACACCAAATTCTTTGTGCATAGGTTCAACCCACTTTTGTCCATGTCAGATAAAAGTGAAGATCACTTGATCATTGTCCCCCACTCCTTTTTCCATATGTGTATACTCTTCTTGCATAGCTAAATTTTGAGAAATAGTTGTACCTTCTTCATTTCCATATTAGCATATATCTTCTACTATCTTGTTTCATTCCCACCTTAAAACTATCAGAACAGAACCAGTACTGCAGACACATTTCTTCTCTTTCATTAGATTATTAGCACTTCATCATCATATAACTCCACCTAATTATTCATATAAATTTATCTTTCTAGGTTTCTCTTGACTCTCTTGGTTGTATTTCAAAGCCCAGCTCTGGTTTTTTCATCTAGAGTGTTTAAAAATCCTCTATACTATTAAGACTCCTTTTTCCTTTGTCAGATCATACTCAACTTTGCAGGGTGAGTTGTTGATTGTAAACCTATATGTTTTGCTTTTTAAAATACTATCTTCCAAGATCTCTTCTCATTTACAATAGAAACTGCCAAGTCTTGTATGATCTGGACTATTGTTCTTTGGTACCTGAACTCTTTCTTTCTGGCTGCTGGCAGCATATTTTCTTTGATGAGGAAACACTAGATTTTGTCTATGACATTCATGAGACTTTGCTTGTGCGGCTTTTCAGGAAGTGATGATTCCTCTTTTCAGTTTGCCCTCTGGATTGAATAGATCTGAGAAGTTTTCATTTATGAATTGTTGAGCTCAGGCTTTTTTTAAATGATGATTTTCAAGGAATCCAATGATTTTTTAAAATTCTCTTTCCTGGACCTGTTTTTACAGATCAATTGTCTTTTATATCAGAATATTTCATATTTTCCCCTATTTCATTTAGTATTTCAGCTTTGTTCTAATATTTCTTATTGAGTCATGGAGTCATTAATTTCTGTTCTGGCTATTGTGGATTTTAGGGCATCTGTTATTTGGGTAAGGTTTGCAATTTTCTGTTCCAAGCTACTTATTCCCCTTAATGCTAATGATTATCTCCAATTTATCTTGTACATATCTTATTTGTACATAGTTGTCTACACCATTAGACTGCAAGTTCACTGAAGGCAGGGACTATGTTTCTGCTTTTCTTTGTATCCCCAGTGCTTAGAACACTGCCTGGAACACAGAAGAAACTTAGTAAATGCTTATTGACTTGTCTTGATTTCAGAGTCTTCATTTTATTTTGTATCACTCAATTTATTTTTTGCAAAGGCATCTGCATGGAGCAGTGGGTAGAGTATTGAGCCTATGGTCAGTAAGACCTGAGTTTGAATCCAGCTCAGACACTTACTAGTTGTGAGACCCCAGGAAAGTCACCTCACTTCTGTCTACCTCAGTTTCTTCATCTATAAAATGGAGGTAATAATAGCATTTACCTCCCAGAGTTATTGTAAGGATTAAATGAGATAATAAAGTGCTTAGCACAATACTGGCACATAATAGGTGCTATAAAAATGTGAGTTATTATTATTAAAGCCTTTCTGGAAAATCCATTTTAATTTGATTTTCTACTTAAAGTTATTGTGAGGTTGCTCTCTTCTTCGAGATTGGATTTAGGGGTAATCTATAATAATTCTTTATAGGGATTGATATCTCCTGCTACTCCTCTGTCCAGCCTTGGTTTCTGAATAGCGGCTTTGTGACATGGCCAGGCTCTTTCCTCTTGGATGGAGTGGGTAGCCTGATTTGGTCTCCACTTTGGTTCCAGCACTAAGCTTCACTCCTGGAATATCTACATACTTAGGTATTAGGAGTAGGTTTCGGTGCCCCCTTGAGATCTTGGAGGTTCAGAGGCTGGATCTTCAGGGTCCTCTGTGACATCTCATAACATGCTGCTGGGGATCTTGGAGCCCCTGGGCTTGGGGTGTACTAATCTGAGCACTTTCTCAATCTCATCATTTTATTGCTCGCAGGGTCCGTGCTGCAGGTTTCCAATCACCTTGGCTCTTTCCCATGGGAGTACTCTGCATTTGCTTCCTCTGAATGCAGAGCCTTTCAGGATACAAGTGTGCCTGGTCATTATGAAAGACTTTTTTTTTCAAATATGCATTCTTAAGAAACTCCTCCTGGGAGCCTCCATCTATTCCCTAGTGCTACACAGATAGTCAGCATCTAGTGGCTACTGGTTGGCTGGCCAATCTCCCTGGTACCCAACACTCAAAATGATCAGCCTCAGCTTCTAGGCTCCAGCATCATCAGGAAGTGAGCTGGTCCTTGCTGGGACCCTGTGTCTATGCCTGACCATGCAAAATTATTGCTTTTTACTGCATTGCTTTGCATCTGCATACGATGGTTTAAACCTAGAATTTGATTAGCCTTGTTCTTGGAAAATTAGAGAGTTTTTGCCTCATCTGATTGTTAGTGGCGTCTTAAAAAAGAGAGATCTTGTTCTTTTGAAACAAAAAGCCAGGGAAAGAACTTAAATGAGCTCCATCCTTTGAGAGGCAATAAAAACATCTCAATTTTACTGTTTTCCTCTAGTGAGCTTTTACATGATGCCGAGAATTATGATACATTAGCCTTGGGAGAAAATACTAAAAATCATCCATGTACTGCAGAGCATTCCCCAAGAGAATTTGGTACAGCCGCCGTTCTTTACAGCCCAAATCTGTTTTTACAAAACATCCACACTTCTTGCATTGAGGTCTATACGTGGAGGACAGATATTCTGGGGGAATTTTCTCAGCATTCAATATTTTATACCCATAATAATAGTGCTCAGCAGCGGCTGAGGCAGAGATATGAGGTGGCTACGCTTGCCCATCTGACGGCTGAGTAATAAAATCATCAGCGTACAAATGATTTTTTAATTAGGTTTTAATCTGTGCATTTAGAGAAGTTATTTCCGTGTGAATCCCACCCTGATCATCTTTATCTTGCCTCCACAGCTGCAATCGCTAATGTCAGATGCTATGGACACCCTTGAAGGAAGAAGAAATGATAAAGAGCGGGTGTGGAATAAAATACAGAAGGTAAATGAAGCTTTGCAGCTGGGCACAGCGGAGAGAGAGTGGCTTGCTCTGGGTCAATGTCCATTTGGGGTCAGTCACATCTGTTGAGAAGGTGGAAAAAAAGTTCTCTGGCTACTCTGTCCGGCTCTCTGCCCACCCCCAGCATCTAGTAGGGGTGTATTTATTCTATTGTGTTCCTTCAAGTCCCCTTCTTTTCCAACAGATTGTGGCTCTATGATTTCCTGGTTCTTCATTATCACACACTCCTGCATACTCCATTTTCACTATCTCCTTCCATCCCAGTCATTTTACTTTCTTTTTTCCTTCAGAGTCTTTCTTTAATAATGTTCTAATTCTTTTCTTTATTACACAAAGATAATGGCTAAGTTACTGGAGAAATGAGATCAGTGAGGTTCTGGTGGCAGGACTTCAATCCAGCTGTTTTATAATCGCCTCCAGACCCCAAGACACAGCCAGTCCTTTACAATGTAGTGTTGTACCTGCCACCCCCACCCACCCACCCATCACTACTGAGGAGGTGTTCTGGATAAGGCTATTCCAGGTCTGCAGCTACAAATCAAGTCTTTGGGGTCTTTAGGACCAAACTTGTGATTTCACCAGTGTAGGGAACTCTTGGTGAGAAACTTTCCCTTACAGGATCAATGGCCTGCTTTGTCACTTAGAGCTATAGGGAGTGGCTACCTGCGGTATAACTTGAGCCCAAAACCTTCCTCATGGATGCCAGCTCTCAACCCTCTATTCCATGCTACCTTTAAAAAAAAAAGACTATGGTAGGGGCAGCTAGGTGGCACAGTGGATAGAGCTCCAGCCTTGGAGTCAGGAGGACCTGAGTTCAAATCCAGCCTCAGATGCTTGACATTTACTAGATGTGTGACCCTGGGCAAGTCACTTAACCCTGATTGTGTCACCAGAAAAGAAAAAAAAAGACTATTGTACCCAGTATTCCCAGGCATTCTCCCATCCAAGTACTAACCTAGACCAGTGCTATTCAGTGTCCAAGATCAGAGGAGACCTTGGCATGTCAACCAGATCATTTTTTTTAAACTTGGACCTGCATTTCTGTTGGCATATGGAGCTCCCAGTGAGGAAACGCCCTATGTTGGCTTAGATGCACATCTGCCTAAAACTCACGTCTTAAAGTGTTGTCTAGGAAGGACCTCCCTGGTGTTCCTCATACACATCCCTCCATCTCCAGACTCTGTGCCTATTCACTTGCTGGTTCCCATCCCTAGACTGCTCTTCATCCTCACCACCATCTCCTGGCTACCTTGACTTCTGTCAAGACTCAGTGTAAATCTTACCTTCTAAAGAAAGCCACTTGCAGGTGCCCCTGCTGCTACTGCCCTGCTTTTGGGGTTGCCTTCCAATTCCACTATACATACATGTATACATATTTATACTATACTATATTATATATATAAATATATTATATATTATATATATATATTACTATGTTACAGTAATACCATATGGATTTTGTAACATAGTATAGTATGTATGTATGTGTGTGTGTGTGTGTGTGTGTGTGTGTATAACATACTGTATATTACTGTAACATAGACTTTTGTTGTTCAGTCATGTCCAATGCTGGCTGACCCTATGGACCATACCACATCAATGCTGTCCATGGCAAAGACACTGGAGTGGGTTGCCATTTCCTTCCCCAGTGGATTAAGGCAAACAGAGGTTAAGTGACTTGCTCAGGGTCACAGAACTAGTAAGTATCTGAGACTGGATTTGGACTCAGGTCTTCCTGACTCCAGGCCCAGCACTCTATCCCCTGAGCTATCAGCTGTCTCCATAACATAGCATAGCATGGCACAGTATAATATACACACGTGTATACATATCTGTACAGTAGAAGCGGGAGGTTATCTCAGAAGGAGGGCACTAGCAGCAGGGGCGACTGAGAGGGGCTTTCTATAACATAGTATGGCATGGTATGGTATGATATCAACATGTACATGTATGCATACATGTATAAATATACTGCTATAGTATAGCTACATTATGTTATGCTACATTATGTTGTTACTTTATGCTTGACTTCAGCCCATTTTCCAGACTGATTTCACATCATTCCTTTTATGGACTCCAGAATTCAGCCAAGTACAGAATATTGCATGTCCAGACTCTGTGTCTTTCCATGTGTGGAGGGCTGTCCCTCTTTGGATCCAGAGCTCCCATCATGGCTCAGCTCCAGTGCTCCCTCTTAAAAGGAGCCTTTCCTGATCCTGCCCGTGCTCTATCCACCAAAATTACTCTTTCTTTACTTTCTATGTCTTTTGTATTTCCTTACCTTCATACATGTAATGTCCGCTCAGTAGAACATAAGCTTCTTGAGGGCAGGGACTGTTCGCTTCTTATCTTGCTAGAGAGTCTCTTGTACATAGCAGGTTTTACCTAAAGGTCTGTTCAATTCAAGGTCTCATTGTTTTAAGAGTTTTACAAAGTTCTAGCAAATTACTCAGGTGCCTTTTAAATCAAGCAAGGGGCTGTGGGGGTGTTGCAAAGAGAAAGGGGGTGTCTCAAAGCCTCAAGAGGTTTGGTTGGTACATATAATTGTGAAACACCCAAAGCATGATTGGGCAAGAGATAGACAGTGACCTCGTCCCCTTGGCTTAACATTTGAGCTCGTTTAGAATCAGTTGCAGGATAGACACAGGTTGGCTATGTTGGATCCCCAAAGACTCTACAAGGAAGTAGATGCACCAGATTTGGAATGATGAAAGTCATTCATCACCCTTGGACTTCAGAGGTATCATATGATGGCCCATCCGCCCAGGGAGAATTTCCCCAAAAAAGCAAGAGCCTAGGAGAGAAAATATGAAGTTTGTCCATCATTGTAGGAGGGACCATGTGGAATCATGGATGGATATTTGTGTGTATGAGCTTTAAACATGGAAAGTAAACACAAAGTAGAACATGTAAGCAAGGAATTCAACTCAGGAAACACCTTATTAAACATCTACTATTGCTAGATACTGGCCATCCAATGCTAAAAAATTACATACTGTCTACTCCTTAGCAGGTCACATTCTAGGAGAAAGATTCAGTGGGAAAGAGTACCCAACTCAGAGTGCTGAACTTAAAATCATGGGACCTGGTTCAGATCCTTGCTCAACCACTAACTGCCTGCATCATCTCTCTGGGCTTCAGTGTTCTCTTCCGTGAAATAAGAGAGTCTCACCAGAAGGTCTCTAAGGACCCTTCCAGCTCACCATCCTTTAAGACACAGTATATCCAACAATAAATAGATACAAGAAAGGAAGCGATTGAGGGAAAGGAGAGAGAAATACTAAGGGCTCTGGAAAAGTCTGAGGAGGATAGTTAGGGAGTTCATTCAGTGTAAGAGGTTTAAACCTGTGTGACCAGTAGGATTGAAGGGAACATTGTTGAAGTGATGGGAGATAGATTTGATTGGCAGCTGGCTTTAGAATGGTTTGGAGAGGAGAAAGGAGGAGGTGGCCAAAGGATGGAGGAGGAGCAAGGTCAGAGATCTCATGCCAGAAGGAGGCACAACCATGGGCATCCTTGGCCACTAGGAAGGAAAGGTGGTTCAGGAATATGCCATTGGGTATGTTGCCCACTTTGGGTGAGAGAAGCAGGGAGTCTGTGCACAGACTTCTCCCTGTCCTCCCAAACCCCACCAGCATCTCATATCTACTTTGTAAAAAGCTATACGTATGTGTTGTCTGTCTTTTTAGAATGTAAGATCCCTGAGGGTAGGGTCATTTTTGATCCTTTCTGTAGATCACCAACACCTCCCACGTGCGAGGCACTTAAATGCTTGCTGACTGATTGATCCTTTGATACCTTGGACCATTATCCTATCAATTTGCCCAGATCTGTGACTGCATCTTAACCCTTTGAGAGACTGGTACCTAGATTTCCCATTAGCTGGAGGTTGTAGGCTATGTTAGTGCCTGTAAAGTATTTTTTCCATTGTTTGATTGGGAAATTTAATAGCATGCTGCTGAGATTCATATAACATCCCCTGTTTAAGAGAAGGTACTTGGAGTGGATAGAGCACCAGCCCTGGAGTCAGGAGGACCTGAGTTCAAATGTGATGTCAGACACATAATATAGCTAACTGTGTGACTCTGGGCAAGTCACTTAACCATAATTGCCTAGCCAAAAAGAAAAAAAGAAGAGGTGCTTGGTCTGGAAAGCCTAGATGAGCTGCTATCGGCATCAGAGGAGGGAGTTTCCACACTGAGAGTTGCTTGCAGTGCCAAAACCATGACCCCACTGTGAATCTATCCGAGTGTTTATAGGCAGCGAAAGACCTCTACGATGTGGGAGAACTCTGGCCACGTGTATGTGAAAGTTTAAATACTATGTAATACAGAGCAGGCCTCCCAAAAATGCTAATTAATGAGCATAATTTCACACAAAGTATTTTGCTGCTTAAATTTCTCATTCAATCCCAAGTTTTCCCTGGGTAGTGCGTCTTACCTGCTGCCACAGCCTGGAAACTGTAAAGTGGCCTGGGGCCGTTGAGCACCAGTGTGAATGTGCAAAGAGCAATCCACTCATATTGGAGAGTGCAAGCTCCTTGAGGCAGGAAGAGGTTCTCCTCTGTCTCTGTGTCTCTAGTGCCTAGCACAGTATCTAGTAAGTGCTTAATAAATGCTTGTCGATTGACTAATTGATGTGAAATGGGCCCCATCCTTTGTTCAGGACTGGTGGAGGGCATAAATACAGCGGGCTTGGTCACTTCCAACCTCCTGGCCTTTGCCCCTTTCTTTTCCTGCTGGTGATACTCTTATCCTATCCACTTCTGATGCTCAGTGGCCTCAACCTCCCCCCCTTCTTCCTATCAAAATGGGCTCTCAGGAAAAGATGAGCTATCATGGCACAGTGAGATTAACACTGAATTTAGAGTTAGAAGACCAGGCTTCCAGTTCCTGCAGGGCTATTTACTGCCTTGCCACTAGCCACTCTGGGCCACTACTTTCTTGTCTTTAAGATGAAGGTGTAGAACTGCACAGTGGTTA